TGACCGGAAGATGCACTGCTGGAGTTGGCGTGGGCTTTGCCCTTATGATTGCTCCAGTTTACTCAGCAGAGATTTCATCTCCTTCCTCGCGAGGGTTATTGACTTCTCTACCGGAGCTTTGCATCAGTTTTGGCATCTTACTTGGTTACGTATCCAATTATTTCTTCGGAAAATTGACTCTGAGACTTGGCTGGAGGATGATGCTTGGCGTTGCAGCAATCCCTTCATTTGCCTTAGCTTTTGGCGTACTGAAAATGCCAGAGTCTCCCAGATGGTTAGTACTACAAGGTCGTTTAAGTGACGCCAGGAAAGTCCTGTCACTGGTTTCCAACACAGAAGAAGAAGCTGAATCTCGGTTTCGTGACATAAAAGTTGCAGCTGGGATAGATGCAAATTGCATCCAGGATGTTGTCAAGCCTCCTAGTAACAGCCGCGGCCAAGGCGTGTGGAAAGAACTTTTGCTGAGGCCTACACCCACCGTACGTTGGATCCTGATCGCCGCCATCGGAATCCATTTCTTCGAGCATGCAACGGGTATTGAAGCAGTCATTTTATACAGTCCAAGAATTTTCAAGAAAGCCGGAGTCAAAGGCAAGGACAAGCTTTTGCTCGCCACAGTTGGGGTAGGGCTTACTAAGACAACGTTCATCTTAGCAGCCACATTTTTACTAGACAAAGTTGGGAGACGACGCCTTTTATTGATAAGCACCGGAGGAATGGTTGTAGCCTTGACAGCGTTAGGATTCGGCTTGACCATGGTAGAGCGAACTGGGGAAAAGCTTTTATGGGCACTAAGCCTTTGCATTGCATCTACATATATTTTTGTAGCTTTCTTCTCAATTGGACTTGCGCCCGTCACCTGGGTTTACAGTGCAGAGATATTTCCTCTGAAGTTAAGGGCACAAGGAGTCGGTATCGGTGTGGCTGTCAACAGGGTCATGAATGCGACGGTCTCCATAAGCTTTATCTCAATCTATAAAGCAATTACCATCGGAGGTAGCTTCTTTATGTTTGCCGGAATAGCTGTGGTGGCCTGGTGGTTTTTCTTCTTCCTATTGCCAGAGACCAAAGGAAGGTCCTTGGAAGAGATAGAGACACTCTTCACCAGGAAGACAAAGCCTAAAAAAAAAGGCTTGGAAATTCAGCCGAGAAGCAACGCTAAAACCTAGAACTGGCGTTCTTCGGAACGCCAACTTCTACATGTATAACCCAATGTAAAATAACAGTGTTGCTATGCACAATCAAGTTGAATTAGATCGTGAGAAAAGTTGATTAAATGA